GAACAGAAAATGAGAAAAGAAAAGAGCAAGAGCAGTCCACAGCATGTGTGTGGAGCTCAATGAAAACACCACCAGTCTCTGTTTTGACGTGAAATAACTAAATAATTTAAGTTCTAAGACTACATACTTGGTAACTTGGCTCTTTCTGAATAACTGAGCTCCAGCTTCTGTTCCACACACAGCTTCTTGCTGGCTGGAGAGTCTGTGCCATTTTTGGGCCTGAGAGTGAGTCAAGGTGACAGTTTCACCAGACAGTTTCTAGATTGTAGCGCAATGCAAGCAAACACACCAGCTACACTGGGGGAAAAACGTCTGGAGAGTTGTACCTGAAAGTGTTGTTGTCCCGGATGAACTCGAGGACACTCTGGGCGGTTTGGGCGTCGATGCGTTCGGCTGCCTGCAGCACACGGAGCAGCTGAGATATGGAGATGATGGGATGGAGCTTGATTCCCTTTGATGCCAACATCTCCACGCCACCTTGCTCTCTGTCCATTAGTACAATCGCATCCGTCACCTTGAATAAAAACATGTCAGAGGTCATTCTTGTGTACTGCTGCTCTTGATGACATCAGTACAGCATAACTATGATATTATTATCTTTACTGTAACGTTAGATTCTGGACCTTCAGTCCCTCTTTGTAGAGCACTTCAGCAGTCTCCAGGATGCTGGTGCCGCTGGTCACTGTGTCCTCAATGATCAGGCACGTGTCCCCCTGACGGAACGACCCCTCCACCAGCCGTTTGGTTCCTGAAGTAGAGTTACAGAAGGCAAATTACGAGTCCATACTGAAGGACAAACTTACAGTAATTCTCAAACTATGAAATATTAACCAACAATATAGCATGCTAGATGAAGCACGCACTTTCTTGCTTTGCATTTTGTTTTTTAGGTTTGGTTTACGCAGGTTCTGTACCATTGAACTGGGATTTCCGACAGTTTAATGTCTGCCTACACTGGACACCTGTGTACTGCCTGAGGCTTCAGCTTTTTCAAACATCTGGACAGCAAGTTTAATCAGAGCCTGTAGTGGCAGCAATTTTATTTTTTTGAAAACCTGATCAGCTGAGAGCGACTCACCATAGTCCTTGGCCTCCTTCCGCCTGATGAGCATGGGCAGTTCATGTCGTGAGCAGATAATTGTGGCCAAAGGCAAGGCTGTGTAAGGAACCCCACACACAGAGTCGAACTGCAGACCCTCTTCTTGCACTCGCTTGTAGATGAGATTTGCCACCTGGAAGAAAAAGAAGTCGTTTGGGTCCGTTGTCAGAAAAAAAGACCACAGTTTAGAGTGATGTGTTGCAGATGATGAACTTCTAATAAAATGTTAATTAAAAAGCTGATACAGTTAAATGACCGGCTGTTTAAGGCTGAATGGTTTGAAACGCTCATCCTTATCTTATCCTGAGTGACCTGAAGAGCTTCAGAAAGCTGCTGATTCCTGTAACGATTATTGAGGCTGGAGTGAGTGATTAGCTGGTGAGAGGTCCAGTTTTATCTGTTTTAACTGCTATTTTCCGTGAAAGGAGTTGATCCCTGAAACTCAGTCATTGTGTCTGCTACATTACTGTGAAATAAACCACGTGAGTATGAATATTACACAGGAACTGACACAGATACTTTTGCCTTTAAAAAGTGCATCCAGCAGACGTTTCATGTGTCCGGTATCGCTTTAAGCTGTTCAGTTCTGCAGTCACGAAGATAGCACGTGTTACCTGGTTCATGAGCACGGGGTGGGACACGAGCACTCTCAGGTCGATATAAATGGGTGTCATCAGGCCGCTCTTCAGCTTGTATTCCCCGAACTTCACTCCGTTCACGTCGTGGAGCTTCAGGATTAAACTATCAATTGAAGCGCCGTCCATTCTTTCCGTATTTACGAGTTTCGGCTGGACTTTCACTCGTCCTCAAAACTTGCTCGTCCAGTTCGCGCTACCCCAGTTATGGTAACACAAACACTTCCGCTAAACCTTTCAGAATAAAAGGGCCAATGTCCGTTTTAAGAGCGTTTAATGTTTACAGATCAAATGTCGCGTAATTCAGTGAAGAAACGCGAAGAAGCCCGGTAGAAAGAATCGTTGTTTGTGAAAGTTCAAAAATGAAGACTCGAATAAATAACGTTGCGACAGGCTGCTGTCCAACCTCTCAGCTGTGATAGGCTCCAGCACATCCAGAAGACGTATGGATGAGAAAAGTACGCCCTAACCGGAAGTAAATACCCGCGTCAGCGTTGTAGGCCTTCAAAATAAAAGCACCGTGATTTTATACTTCTTAGGCTACATATTATATATTTATTATACAGGCTATACAGTACACAAGATCAAAACCCGCGTGTTTTATGTAACTAAAGCGTTTAATTATGTGGGCTGCAGAAAATAATAATAAACTATTTTTATATGAAAAACGCGTTTACTTACTGCATTTGAATTATTGTAACAATATGTAACCACCTGCATATGTGTCTGAAAAAAAGGCTTTGATTTTGCCACACCATTTGATTTCCATGCCACCCTCATGCCATCCTAAGAAATTTTCTCTAGATCCGCCCCACATGGTTCACTGATTTAGGCTTTTTAAACAAAGTCTTTGCCAAGGTTTTAATAGGTAACTGACTAAAACTACAGCGTTTGCTGACCAAACTAACTAAGTAAAATTTCACTGAAGTAAAAGTGACTTCAGGCACTGTATAAAACTGTCATAATTCTGTTTTGTAGAGCAAGAGATAACAGGCATGTGTTTTTATCAGTTTATTAAAAAGATTCAGTCCACAGTAGTTCAGAGTCTGGCACCAACAATATAAAAAACAAATGAATCAAAAATAAAGTGTACACCCTAAAATAGCACTGAACAAAATGCCTGAATAACAAGGGATAAATAAAAGAACTGAATTAAAAAATTTAAAAAAAAAACACTAAAATGTAATCCACTGGGAAATTATGGTGAATTCTCCAACTTATTTTTGAAACAACAGTTACATTTTTAGGTGAGCCAGTTCTGGGTTTACTTTTAAAATTTTTATAGGTTCTATAATTTGTACTCATATTGCTGATGACGACCGTCTGCATGGTGAATTAAAGATTAATAGCAGACACATCAAAAGTAACAGAAAGGCTGTTTCAAATCTTTTTGTCATTGAAAAAGATTAGCTGCTCTTCAAACTAGCAGACCACAGATATACACAGGATACTTACAGGAGTGCTTTCCTCATAACAAAGGGAATTACACTTCACTACAAAGAATGTAGATTCATGCTAATAAAAACTGTCATAGCAGTTTTATTTTAATCTGATGGTGACGGTCATTTCTGTATATGTCACTAAAACTGACCCACAGGAGCTAAAAGTTCTTTTGGGGGTACAATAGCAATACTGCATGGCTTTGAAACTGCCTTTGCAAAACAGCTCTCCCTCTTTCTATTGATATGGACCCACAAAATGCATTCCACCATTATCTAAATGCATTTGAAAAAAAAACCAAAAACGGATATGGCAACAAAAGGTGGCTACAGACATCATTTAGAGATTTGCATAATTGCATTCTGTGTTTGAAAGAGGAATGTTCTGAAAACAAAAGCACCAATACGACAGTCAAAACACACATAACAATACTGCTTCTGTGTGTGTGTGTGTGTGTGTGAGAGAGAGAGAGAGAGAGAGAGAACAGGACATTTGGGGAATGAACGTTCAAGGGGGTGAAGCAGCAGGATTTGTGCTCTGACAGATTTGTCTAAAATTACTCTGATGGAAGAAATCCCTGGTTCTGTTGAAGAAAAGAGGCTCAAAACCCACAAAGAAAGCTGCTACAGGTCTTTGAAAGGCACAAGGATTGGAGTAGAAAAGTGTTGTTAAGGCACTACAATTTGGTGGGGAAAAAATTAAGGCACAAATCTGATGGAATATTTCCTTTTCACAAAAGCGGGCGGGGGCTTCCATCTTGAAGCGATGCTGACGCTGTTAGGGATCTCGTCATTTTGTCCTCCTTTACTCGTACTCCTTTCGTCTCTACTCTTGTGGGCTGATAGCGTCTGCAAGCAGCTCCGGCCTCAAACATTCAATTGGACACTGGATGTTCTGGAGAACAGAGAAGGGCATGTCAGAGGGAGAAGGGAGAGGAAACATGAATGTTCTATGGGCTACAGCTACATTTTTATCTGATGTAAATTGGAACGATTACTATTAGAAAAAGACACTGACCAGTTTGCGAAGAGCATTTTCTCTATAACGATCAAAGACGTCTGGCCGAACAGGCTGGAGGAGGTCAGCCTCCAGCTCAGGCTGTCCTCCTGGCCTCCTGCAGTTCTCACATCGCCAGCCCTGAAGAGAAGAGAGAGACATGTTACACACACAACCAGCCTGGCCTTGAGTG